TTGAATTCTTTTACCTTATTTATTGCTCTTCATTTGGAAGCCTTAAGGTCACTATCAGTAACTTAACAACGTTCGTTAGAAGTCGTGATAAGTCAGGCACCACATGGTATGCAAAGAGACTGAACATAACCAATCTGTCGGGAATGTATGAGGTAAGATATGATTCGATCAATTTGTCCTAGTATCTAAATCTATCAGGATAAACTACAGGGCCCGGTTCCTGAAAGGTTGATTAGCGTTAATCCAGGATTAAAATTTGGTTCCGTTTTTGTATTTTACATTCCTATGCTTTGCTTAGGGTAACATTTCGTGTTATCATTACTGTATCTCGTAGTAAAGGCTCAACAATATTTTGTAACCTGAGTTGCATGACTAGAAAACTGTGCTTGAAATTTGGCTTAGTCCTGGGTTAAACTTAACTATCTTTCGAGGAACCGGGCCCAGGTAGTCGAAACTTATCCTACTATAGCGTCATAAATTCTCGGGAACAGAAGCGGGTAATCGGCTCCCGTCCTCAGAAGTAACTGAAGTACACAGAGTGAGTTTCATCAGAAAAGCAATATCGTACCCGGTGGCAGGTCATGTAGAGTCGACGTGTTTGCGCCGATTGTCATGGGTGGAACAGGGGAGGTGGGACAATTCCGCGACCTTTTCTTTTTATAAGAAGTTTGCAACCAGCAGTATGACGAATGGTGTTTTGCAACAAGGGTGTCAGTGTTGGCAAAGTATCTTTTGAACTTTCTTATCCTCTAGATCTAAGACCTGTTTTGCCTGATCTTACAAACTTTGATGAAATGAGGACGTTTAAAAGATAGATCTTGGGAACCTATTTTACACTAATATTCACTAGGTGTAAACGCTAGGAGAGAAAGAAAGAAGAAGAACACAGGACCAGAGCTGATCTTTCTTGGTGTAAACGGTAGAAAACAAAAAAAAGAAGAACACAAGACCAGGAAATGACAATACAATCACGCATGGTGAAATACGTTAAAATTAAGTTTTAACTGCGACAGACAGTGAGCCCTCAAGACGTAGGTTGCTTGACATAGATATCATGTTTCCCGAGGTTGCGCTTTTTGGGTAGTCATGCACAGCTTCTCTGGATCCGCCCTTTACCGTAACATAATGTGTTTTACAGGTAGAAATAGAGGGCTTACTTTCACCAGGAAACAGTGAAACATGTGGTATTGCAATTGACGACTTCTCGTTAAAGAAGGGACCTTGTGATCAAGGTTAGTGTACTGACAATTTTAAAGTTTCCTTTGAGTTGACTGTAACAAGAATTTTGATGGGTGCATACACCTCATTATGCCAATGACAGATCGTTTACCGTGTACCTTGAGATCCAAAATTTGCTGCTATTTTTGTGCTTTGTCGTTGTTTTTTCAAATAAAGGCCTACATATGGCCTTTAACTTGAAGACGAATTTGCTGAAAAAGAATGAAAATGTTAACCGATCGTGAAGTGGCCTTTTTTTGTTTTAAGGTTATGTTACACGGGACGATTCGCAACAACGATTTTTAGCGCAACACAGCGTTGCAACATTGGTGCGACATTGTTTTGAATGGTTACAACATTGTTCTAACATTGCAATGCTGTGTTGCGGCAAAAATCGTCGTTGCGAATCGTCCTGTGTAACATCACCTTTAAGGTGGCTCGATACAGTTTTTCAGGGTCAATACCTCCCAAGTTTGAGCATAAACTACGTCGCCATAAAGAAAGTTTTGGAAAAATTGCCATCAAAGTTGTATTAGATAAAGATGAAAATTTGTTATGATCAGGGTTGCAACGGCATCGGAGTTGTCATAGCAACGAAATGACGCTATTAGCTATTTTACTTGCAGCAGTATATCTCGGCACTATGAACTGTTCCTCGTTCGAAAATCATTCACTGGGGCTTTTTCCTCCAATAGCAGCCTGGATGTTCGTGAAGTTTAAGCGAAATTTGTAAGAGCGTTATCGAGATATTTTGGTATAAAGTTTTTATTGTTAGAAACACAGTAAAAAATGGACAGTATTGTTGTTTGGCCGTTATCTGTAGAAAGTGAGGCGCTTTCGACTGCATGTAATTTCACCTCATAGTAGTTTCAATCTTTTTAAAAGCGTGTGTGAAAGATCATGGGAGATAGCTCCAGCCGATTGCTAGAAAGAAGGGTTTGATTAGTATGTATCGAAGCGCTCTTGTTAGCGGTTTTGTAAACATCTTGGTCTACTTTAACAAATTAACGAATAATTTTTAAACCGCTCGATGGATTTTTTTTAAAATTTACTATTCTTGAGATTAACTTTCCTTTTATATGACCTTTTAGTTTCAAGATTATTGATATATCGTAAGGCAGTGAAATAAGGGCTACAATTTGTTACTTTTTTTAATCGGAAGTTTCGTCATTACAAGTGAAAGCCTATAATTATTCTAGGCACTGTCTCCAAGTTTCATTTTCAGGTGAACAGTAGTAACTAACAATGCAGTTGAAATATGCAAAAATGTTAGCTATTGTTGTGCACTAAAATATGAAACTTGGACACAATACCCTGAATATTGAGAGGCTCACACTTGTAAACACAAAATTTCTGTCAAAATATTGGCGAATTGTAGCCCTTATTTTACTGCCTTACAATATATCAATAATCTTGAAACTAGAAAGTCGTATAAAAGGAAGGTTAATCTCAAGGATCTTAAATTTTTAAAAAAATCTATCGAGCGGTTTAAAAATTATTTGCTACTTTGTTAAAGTAGACCAAAATGTTCAAAAAACCGCTAACAGAGCGCCTCGATACATACTAATCAAATCGTTCTTTCTAGCAAACGGCTGAAGCTATCCCCTTGATCTTTCACACATGTTTTTAAAAAGATTGAAACTACCTTGAGGTGAACTTGCATGTCAAAAGCGCTTCGTTCTCTACAGATAACAGCCGAACACCAAGATTGTCTATTTTTTACCGTATTTCTAACCACAAACTCTTTATCCCAAAATATCTCGATAACGCTCTTACAGATTTCGCTTAAACTTCACGAACATCCAGGCTGCTATTGGAGGAAAAAGCTCTCGCGAATGATTTCCGAAGAACAGTCCCTAGTGCCGAGATATACTGCTGCAAGTAAAATAGCTAATAGCGTCATTTCGTTGCTATGACTACTCCGATGACGTTGCAACCCTTATTATAACAAATTTCCATCTTCATCTAATACAACTGTGGTGGCAATTTTTCCAAAACTTTGTTTATGGCGACGTAGTTTATGCTCAAACTTGGGAGGTATTGGTCCTGAAAAAACGTATCGAGCCACCTTACATGGTACATCAGTGTAAGAATATAATCTGAGTACGCTGTTTTCTCGCACCCTCGAAGGGGACACTTTAAAGAACTCGAAGAGAATCTGTTTGCTTGACCTCAAGGGAGTATCTTCGTTTAAAGAAATGCAACAAACAGTCGTCCAAGAATTTCTCATAATAATTCTATTTCTCATTTATGTTGAAAGCCATCTCTGTACGATCACCACCATTTTAACCCTTATTTTGAAATGTTCTGTAACATTTCATCGCAATCGATTGGTGCAAAAAACGCCACATGTCTTGTCACTGCTTTGAGTGCAGAAACGCACAAGAAAACAAATAAATTAAGAGAAAAGGTGTAAGATGATTCGGGCAATTACATTTAAAAAAAATGAGGAACTGATTTGTTGAAATTTAATTCAAACAGCTGTCTTACACATGTATCTTTTATTTTATGAATGGATTAAGGTATCTGGCTTAAATTTAGTTTACTCTGAACGCACCACATTGTTTAGATGCGAAACACTCATGGAGGTATCAGGTAACCTTGATAGCCGGGTAGCCTATAAATGATATCTCACTAATATTCATTCTAGCTATGAAAAAGACTTCATATCACGAGATCGGAATATATCTTGATCGGTGACTGAACAAATCCTGCAAGGCCACCATATTTGGACTCGTTAACAGTAGGACTTTTTTTCCACGTTTTAACGCTCACTTTTAGCAATTCACAAAGCAACCGTTGACGGTTTCGTGGTCTAAAAGCGTAACATTACATACTCTGCGATCGATCTGAAGCAAGACTACAAAATGAACAAAAAAAATGGCAATTTACTGTCATGAGCTAGTAGAGCACCTACATTTTCGTTTTGAGATATTTTCTCACTGCATAAAGTACTTCTCAAATGTCCGTTGAGGGGTTTCAAAGTGTCCGTTGTCCGTCTTAGAGAGGTGTCCTTAGTTACAGTAAAATGACTAACAGGATCTTCGTGTGAACGGGCCTTAAACCGCTCTAGAGAGCCAGATTTAAAAAAAATGCGGTTCGGTGACCGGATTAACTGGTTTTGTGCAGGTGTGAACGGAGGGACGATTCATGTAATAAGGTATGTTACATTTGCGGATCGCTGAAAAAAATCCTAAAAATTAGAACCCGCAAAAATTTCTTGCCACACGGTATACGTATCACGTTATTTTTTCTCGCGGGCTCTACATGTTAAGGTGGCTCAGCACAGGTTGGTTGCTGGTGTAGAGCTCAAGTTTGCCATGGACAAAATACAACTTTATCAAGTAAAAATCACGATTTTCATCGTTGTCGCGGCAACACGGATAATTTTAAACAAGTAAATGTTTGAATTTAGTAGGATTACTCAAAACTTATTTCTTTATCCTCATTTTTTACAAATAAAGTAGACAAAATTGTGACAAAATCAATTCAAATGGAAAGGAAATGGCTGTCACGTAAATGTTGATTGTTCGCTCAAATTTCGTCAATTCAAACCAGAAGGGTGAGATATTTTCGTGTGTACACGTGGCCTACATCTGCAAGTGACCTGCAAGTCGCCAGTTTCATGAGCCGAACCATGCATGAGTGTGCAATGCCAAGCTGCATGCCTTAAAGCGCGGCGCCGCGACGCAACCATAAAAAATACCAGTGGGAGGGTCTTAACTTTCTATCATACCACGACGGCGTAACCACCACAATTTGTTGGAAAATAACTAACAGGTCGCATTGTGGGTGGAGAAGAAGCAAAACCACACAGTTGGCCGTGGCAAGTGAATCTGGGAGGCTGCGGTGGTTCACTGATTCATCCTTATTGGGTCTTAACAGCAGCACATTGCGGTAAACCGAGAAGTGTCAGGTTTGTTGAACTTTATCTTTTTTTTTTCAGTATGTAAACCCACAACCCCGAGTAAAAACCATTCACGTGACTCCGGTCAAATAAGACATGGTCTACAGACCAAAGACAAAGAAATAGAAATAATACACGATCTAAGACTCTAGTAGGACCAAGTCTACTGACTTGATTTGAAAAAAGGAATGGGTATAAAATAAGGAATTCGGACTGTGTTTGAAAAAAATGGAGTAGATGGATTAGGGAGGTAAGATAAACCGATTGCAGACTAGTATAAAAAGGTGCTTTAAGGTATTTATTTACAGCATTTTCATTGTAAGTGTCTCTTTGATGGAACCCAATAGAACTGGCTTAATGTAATAGAATAGGCCAGTTTCACCAAAGTTTTAGACCAAAATTCATACTTGGCTCCAAGGCTGAGGCTAATATAACAATAGAAATACTGAGTCAAAACGCGTTGCAGTAACGTAGGAGCTGCTTGTAAGGTGTTTCCTCATTGGTCGCAGAAAACAATAACACATCATTGTTTATCATTATTTCCCATTATTAGGGTTAGGGTATGGATCCAATTGGCTCTTAGGGGTTGGCAGAGCTCCTTGTAATGTAACATGACCAAACTAAAGAGAAGACGTAAGGGATTTCTTTCTCCAGGCACAAAGCAAACTGTCCGTAATAGTGAAGTGTCCGTATTAAGAGGGTGTCAGTAATAAAATAAAAAACAGCTTACCTTACTTAAAATGTGTGTTACGTCTCTGTTGTGTGGTCCACGGGCCGATTTGTGGCCGTTTTATGGGTTTTTATGTAAACGGTTTTCTCTCTATGTAGGTAAGCTGTTTTTTTTTTATTGAAATCCTTTCATTTTCGTAGGTTACGGAAACGATAGGTTTTTTTCCCATGCAAATCCTTATATTCTGAATGTTACGCAACAATGCCGATGCTCATATTTCGAGCTTGGGCTACCTGTGGTTTGTACAAATAGTAACCGCGATTCTGAGACAAAATTTACCAGTCCTGAATTTTGCTTACCATTTGCCCAAACTATCGACCGACCGGTTTGCCATGTAAATGGTAAACAACCGAAATGTCCTCTTTTCAGAGTTCTCTCTGCCGGAAACCTATCGCTGCCGTAAGTATTTAGGAATAGACAGATATGGCTGGACTTTTCTGATTAACAGCGAAATCATCTTTACCAGTGGACAGACCTGGCCTTTCAGATGTGACTAATGGTTAGAGCTCTAAGTTTGTGGGGAACGAGTGGCCTTTTTAAAGATTTTTTACATTTTTAATCTTAAAACAAACTTGTTCTTAGCGCATAGTTTTACAGAACTTAAAGTGTGATTACGGATTAATATTATGATTTTATTTAAATGTAACTCAGAGTGGGAGGCCACGGTATCAGGGAAGGAAAACAGATCCCAGTCGAGCGAACAATTCAGCATGTCGACTATAACCCTAACACTATGTCCCATGATATAGCCTTACTCAAACTTCAGTCCGCTGCTCCCGTTGAAGAAAAACGTGTTGGCCTTGTTTGCTTGATCCGGGCGTCAAGTCTGCAGCAAGTAAAAATCTGCTGGATAACTGGATGGGGAACGACAAACGAGGGGGGTTCCTCAGCACCGAAGCTTAGGGAAGCAGAAGTACCCCTAGTAAAAACGGTCGACTGCAAGATATCCTATGGTGAAAACGGTATAGACGATACCATGCTGTGCGCAGGTTATAAAACAGGTGGAGTAGATGCCTGCCAGGGTGACAGTGGGGGACCAATGGTCTTTAATGAAGGTGACACATGGTATTTGGCAGGAGCTACTAGTTGGGGGATAGGATGTGCGCGCCCAGAGTTTTATGGCGTCTACGCAAATGTCCCTTATTTTTATGACTGGGTTCGTGGGGAGCTGGAAAAAAGTGGACACACTTTACCAAAGCCAGGTAAAGTAGTAGTATGAAAGTAAAACCAAGGTGAAATTTTGAGGTTTCCATCAATTTTTAATTTTGTTAGTTAGAAAACAATAACTCGATATCTTTTAGTAAGCACGCTGTGACTGGTTAATTTTGCGGGCCGTATTTTCTTGTATGGCCAGCTGAATTTGAAAGTTCACTGTCCCGGGAGCCCGATTAGCCTCCGAAATCTAATTGTTAACAAATTGAACTAATTTCTCGGTTTTTTGCTCCTTGATTACCGTATTTATTCGAATAAGCGCCCAACCTCGAATTAGCGCCCACCTCGAATAAGCGCCCATCCTAAAGGCCGAAAAAGTTAATAAGCGCCCAGCCTCGAATAAGCGCCCACCCCTCCTCCTCCCAATCAAACTCAAATAAGCGTTCACCCCCACCCCACCCACTTGAGTGAATAAATTCTAATAAGAGACTTCCCCGAGGACGGAGTTTTCTTCAGAGTATTTTACAGAAACGTTGCTTTGTTACTTCTTCGCCTTTTGTTATTAGCATTTATTGTTTTGGTTGCAAAATAAAGATACTTCACTTGCTTAAAATGGTGAAATTTTAATAAGCGCCCAGCCTCGAGTAAGCGCCCACCTCGAATAAGCGCCCACTCTCAAGATCCAAAAATTTAATAAGCGCCCAGGGCGGTTAATCGAATAAATACGGTAAAGAGGCGTATACCAAAGCTTACGTGTTAAGGAGGTCCGCAGGTTAATTCCTGTAACCCTAATGGTCCACTATAATTATAAGACATATATATTTCCCTATTTTAGAACATTGTTATCCGCTATGCTTGGTGTTGGAGGAGGTCAGATTAAAAAGTTACAGGACACGAACACCTCCTATATTAGAGGCACCAAGGATATTCTTACCTTTAAATTTTTAAACGTTTTTGAATGAGCACGTCTTTTAATATTAGCAGTGATCACTTTTTTAATGTTATCTCAACACTATTCGTAGATAGATATAATTAGAAAAGAAATTATCAAGTAAACATTATTATTAATCTAGCCGGATTTTTGATAACGTTATCGCCAAATGGGCCTTTTTTACTTTTCTCCAAAGTAGCTATTAAAAAAACTAAGAGTGCAACCATTGCTTTTTTCTCTTTTCCCCCTTTCCTTTTCCTTCGTTACTATGATTTTGGAGCTTCTCAGTCGGGCTTAAGAAACCTGCCTTTTGACGCCTTTTCACTCAAATGACTGCAAATTTCGTTAGGTTGCTTTTCAAAAAATCGGCAATATATAGATAGGTTTATGGATAGATTATTTTCATATTTTACTCTTAATATTTATATTGTTGTTGTTTTATTAATTTATTTAGTTTTTTTCACACATGTTTTGACGAAATTTAACTTTGTTACTCAGTAGTCGGGATGCAAGGAAAACCTGTTATTATTGACACTTTATTGATGAGATAATGGCCATTTGGTGGTGATGACGATAATGATGATGATGAGATAATCGATATTTTATATAAACATGCACACCGAATCCCGACCCTAACCCTAAAACAAAAAAGATAGACCCTAACGCCGCATTTTACTGACACTCCTACCGTATGCTTGATTACCAACCACTGTTTTCAAAATAACATTAACTTTACGTTTACATGGATTAAATGTTGTAGTTTTTGTTTTTCTTTAAAAGATTTAGCCTAAAGAAAGTAACAGTTCGGCGCTCCTCCTACTTGACTAAGCGTCCTCCTTCCAATAAGCGCTCCTCCTTTTAGTCAAAATTTTAAATAGGCGCCCGGGCGAAAATACGTTGAGTGTGATGGCAGTGAGGTAATAATCATTGAATTAGTTAAAGTAAGGGTTTCCTGATAAATAAAGATCATTCTTTTTCTTACGTGTTATAGGAAAAGGCGCAAATGATTGTGGCAGACGTGGTAAGACATAAGTTGTTTGCATTTTGATACTTTCACAAGTCATCAACTTCATTGTCAGTGGTTACTAAGCTTGCGATAAGAAATACGGTCGACTCCAGATAACTCGAACCCTCGCTAACTCGAACCTCGTGCTTACTCGAACCAAAGTCGATTTCCCCTGGATTTCTTTCATACATTGACGGTAATTTTACCCTCGGTAGCTCGAACCCTCCATAACTCGAAGCTCCCGCTAACTCGAAGTAATTTTTGCTTCCCTTCAGATCATTTCTGTATAACTTTACCCTCGATAACTCGAACCATGTTTTAAGCGCGTGACAAGTCGGAAATAAAACACAGAGTACTGAAGTCCGAGACATTGAATTTACTTCAAAACAACCGTGTCAATTCTTTGTGTTAACTGTTTCGTCACTCTAGTTCAAATTCAATGTCCACCCCTGTATACTTTGTTGCTTAATTGCCATTCCCTCCCCGTCCTTATTACCGATTAATTTGCTTCAAACTCTTGATAACTCGAACTTTTTTCGATTTCCCGAAAAGGTTCGAGTTATCGGGAGTCGACTGTATACTCAAAGTAGCAACCAATGCTAGTAAATGCACTTAAAATAACTTAAGATAAACGTAACGTTTCGTATGACCAGATTATTGGTGTTGCCAAGACTTCACTTTACGGGGCCGTTCGGCCTAAATTGTGTCACGAGAGGAGGGTTGTGGACAGTAAATTCATCTCTCAGTTCCAGTCAGACTTTAAAAGTCTAAATACAATCATTTAATATTTGCCAATAAATTTGAACAGGATTTGGCCCAAGATTCTCTATTTAGTGATTCTCATCCAGCAACTCAAAGACAGCTCTTTTTCTTCATCCACTTATCGTAAGAAAACTTTCATGGGTCTTTAAAAAAATAACAAATTGTGAATGAACTCTTTCACTCCTCATTTGTATAAAATATACTACATCCCGACGTCTTCCTAGTAAGTAACTGAACCTAACACAATAGCTGTACTTGTAAACGTTTTATTGAATTAACCAAAGACTGGACCAATTGCAAAAATCTTGATGCAAGAAATCGCCGATCAGCAAAATTAAACTCCCGCAAAAATAAAGTGCCATATGGTATTCACTATTGGACTCTTGACCAGCCAATGTCAGGGTTTTTTCAGGGTCTTTTTTTTTTTACAAGGCAAAAGCCCTTAGAACAAAGCAGGTTGGATTTACTTATCCAGTATGCCTTACACTTACATCAGTAAAAGCGTGTATCATCGTGTTCTAATGGCCTTTTTATTCTATTTCAGAAGGCGGCGGCGGCGGCGGCGGCGGCAACGGCGGCAACGGCGGCAACGGTGGCAACGGCGGCGACGGCGACGGCGACGGCGATGGCGACGGCGGCGGCGGCACAAGTAAGTAGCACTGTGCGTTCAGCCAACTCCCCGAAATGCATTATCCCCCTCTCAATGATTTAAATTTGGTTGGTCGAGGTTATTGAGAACCTTTGGGCTTTGCCGTCGACGACTCTCGCAATAAACAGTTAAACATGAAAACAAAGTAATGTTTGTTTAAATCTCAGTATAGAAAACGTACTACACTGAGTGATTCGTAGTTAACGTGCTGCCTCGTCGAGTTTGTAAATTGTTATGAAATTGTAATGTGAGGGTCTCCAATAGGGTTCTTCAATCCCGTAATCCCGACTTAAAATTTCGTGCAATCCCGTAATCCCGAGGGTTAGTTTTGGCGTCCCATCTCCCGCGCATACCTTCAATCCCGAATCTCGCCTCGATTTTGCTTTCAAATCCCGAATCCCGAGCTTCAAATAAGGGAAATCCCGAAAAAACTATTGAGAGCCCTCTTATGTCAGCAATTCATTTTTAAAAAGGATAGCTCACGACAAGGCGTATGGATAACTTACCATAATCATTTGGAAATCCCATTGCGTTGGATCAACTAATGGCTTCTGGCAAGGAAGAAGGAGTTAAAAGCCGTTTAACGCGACAATATCGGATAATAAACAATTATTGGAAAAGGTTGTTCAGAGCAAAATATTGTGATATGTCAGTGGAAAAGTCACAGGCAGATTATTGGTCTGGGCGACATTGACAAATTCAACGATATTTTGCGAACCGAGTTCAGTAATTAGTTTTTCAGTTTTAAAGTGTGCTGGGTTGTTGTTTAGCCCGCGTAGCAGGCGCTTGGAAGTAAATGGGCGCAAAAGAAAGAACGGGCGCGCGCGAGGGATACGCGCGAGGGGTGTATCCCTCGCGCGCTTGTTCTTTCTTTCTTGTTGTTTGGTTGATTGGTTTGGTTTTTCTTTTGATCTATATTGAAAATTGAGTACTGTACATTTGTTAAATTTAACATTGGTTTCGAGCTCTTTTGGTAGTTTATAGTTCAGTTTTATTAACACACTCATTGCACTTGATACTCTATGATTCTCTGTGATCCGAAGTTCACAGAAATCAAACCGACGTGTGAACCTAGATCACGTTCGGACTTGTCTCCTATGCAGCATATCAACCAAGTCCCCAGGTTTTCTCTCTCGCTTCGTAGGTTGACAGCGTGTCAGGGTGTCTGTCAGGGTTCGTAATTTCGAAATGAATTAGTCTACTTTGTGTAGGGCTTATATCGGGGGGAGGCTTTTTTCGTTTAAAATTCGAGTTGCGGAAATTTTTCAGCGCATCATTGTTGCAAAACAATAGACAACTGCTGACTTACAATTGAATATCAATAAAAACGCAATATTCACGTTGGCCGGACTTGACACTCGCGTCCCGGATGAGAACTCAAAAGTCAAAATCGAGGATTTAGACCGTCTGCCACGCAGACTAGTGGTGCCAATGATTGAAAATTTCTGAACTTTACGAGGGACAGATGGTCGTAAGAATTTTTGATGAGTTATCAAACTTTGGAAAATAAACGAGTCCAGGCCCCAGTTGTTCAACAGTTGGATAACACTATCCACCGGATAAATCACTATCCAGCGGATTAGTATTAGGGAAACCAATTGTGTTTTCCACCTGATAGAGATTGATCCAGTCTATAGCGTTATCAACCTGTTAAACAACTGAGGCCAGTTGAATAGGTCATTTGCACGATGGCGTCATTTTACCACTACGACCAGAATCCTTCAGGGTATTGCTTTCTGGTGCAAATTAAGGCTTTTGTTAAGTAAACCTCACTGGGACTACCAAATTTAATATGAAAGGAAAAACGAAATGAATTCTGGTCTTAGTAGTAAAAAGACGTCATCGTGTAAGTGGCCCATTCCTCATAAGGGTATTTGTTATTTTCCTAAACAATAAAACAATTACAGTTAATTGATATGTGTCGCCTGATTTTTAGATTTTCAGGTAACTTTTTTCTTTCACACTTTTACAGGCTGCAAGGACGAAATGAAAAACTGCCAGAAAAAGGCCGAAAGAAAATGCCAAAAAAAGCGTTTTGAAGAAAAATGTAGGAAAACATGTAATAAATGTAAGTTAAAGTAACTTGAAGACTGGTACTCTTTCATGATAGACCAAGAAATTACTTGTTAAGACGGTCTGCTACAGTTAATGAAGTCTGCTTTTTATTTCATAACCAAATTCTGGCAACGCTGTGGAGTAGCAAGAGCTCAAGAGGTTAGAGAGAGATCGCTAGCCTGCGGTTCTTGTGAGCAGTCAATTGACTCGGATTAAAACTTAACCCCGTGTTTGCGCTAATCGGCCTTTGACTGAACCAGAACAACTCGACCCAGGGGTCCTCTTCTCGAAAGTCCCGGTAACTTTTCGGGAGCGAAATCAAATACGCGGCCACGGTTCATAAAGTGGCCACTAGGGTAATAAAATGTCAAAGAAACCTGAGCTGGTCGCTATAACTAAGAACTCTTCGTGATCACTCCCTACCTGGTTCTGTCTACACGAAAACATAACCTCCAGCTGGAGTGTGGCAAAATTTGGTTGTTTTAAAATTAGCAGTTATTGGATGAGCTCAGACCTAGTATGATCTAAAGAAGTATGCAAATCGAGGAGCATGAGTCGATCAGCTGAGGCCGAACATCCTCAGGGACCTACATAATTTTTTAGATCACACGTAAGCCGAATCTAATAATTGTTGTATTATTCTTTCAAAATAATACTTAAAAAAACAACAACAACAACAGCCAAAAAAAAAACAAGCTAAAAAATGCTTACCTCTATTGATGCCAACAAATGGCAGTTCTCATCCTTCGGATCAGATCAGATCAGTTCGCTCAGTTCCAATCCATGACAGTAGGGCCATTTATACGAGGAAAAATAAGACGCGTCTTACATAAGACGCGAACTGTACCATTTATACGAGCATGTCTTATCTAATAAGACGCGTCTTAGCTAAGCCGCGTCTTATTTTAGACGAAATGTGCCGTTTATACGGAAAGTTCGCGTCTTATTTAAGACGAGTCTTATGTAAGACGCGGCTTAGGGCCTTTTTACATGGAGTGGGGGACCCCGGTCTAGTGGGGTTGGTTTCTTTTGTTTTCACGCTCTGGGGGACACAAAACAAAAGAAACTTACCCCACTGGACCGGGGTCCCCCACTCCATGTAAACAGGGTCTTATTTTTCCTCGTATAAATGGCCCTATTATTCGTTTGAAAAGTAACTCTGTGATCGAATGATAAAACAATTATTGAACTCGATTATTGCATAGTTTGCTCAACCTCGTCTAATAATTACTTATATTATTTATACGATAAATGTTTATTACTCTTTAGGTTGATGATGGATAACAAGACAGTAAGGATCACAACAAAGCATCAGGGATAATTGGAATATTAACTATGCTTAGTGATAGAGGGGCAATAAAAAACGCGGGATAATTTTCAGGGTAATGGCAGAAAATGATATACAGTGGAATAAAAACACGCAGGACAATTAAGTGGTGTGCTAGAGATGCGGTGACAGCAGGGATCAGGGTGACAGCGGGATCGTTATAATAGTCATAGTACAAAACTAAAGAACAATTGGTCCCGGGGGGCGGTCTGGATTTCATGAGACGGGGATTATAAAATGGGGGTAAAAATTAAAACCTAAAAAAACGAAAAAACGAAAAACAAAACCCAAAAGTTCCTGGACCAAGATCCCATGCCGACTTTCCCTGCCTTAACAAGTCTGGTTGTACTTCATTCTCAGAACTAAGCGGGCATTACCGCGAATCTTCAGATTGTTTTAAACACCCACCCCCCCCTCCCCCTCCCACAAAAAATCATATACTTGCCAAATTTGCCTGCCCAAAAAAAATCCCGGAATCGAAAATTTCAAACCCAAAAAAACATTCGATCATCCCCGTGACTTGAAACCCAGAGTACCCCCTGTACAATTGGTGTAATAATCAGGGCAGCAAAGGATAACAATAAAAGCATTAAAAACGTATCACCTTTGACTGACTTGATTAGAGTTTGTTTTAATTTCTGGGTATTTGGCTAGTGTACAGTGAAGAGTTTGACTTCCACTGCAAATATGTTTGGTTTTATTTGATGAAAGCGTCACTTTGTATGAACAAATAATGGAGCAAAACATCTAACAGTACCATCACCTTTGTTAAAAAACACACCACCCCAATCGAATAATAAGGCTGTCGATTGTCTGTTAGACTACGAGTAGTCCCAGTTTTCCTCAGGGATTGTAGAACGAGCGAAACGCGAGCGCGCGTGAAAATCACCACACGCGAGAAAGGCAAGATTTTCACGCGCTCGACACGACCCTATAAGCTGCATAGCTTTTAATATCATCATGCTAAAATAAAGGCTGTCTGTCTGGCCACCTCTCTTAACAACAGCCTCATTTTTGGCAGCAGTCGGTCTATTGACCTCTCTACAACAGCCACTTTTATGTATTCCCAAGGTGGCCGTTGTGCGATCTTGTTGAAGGAAAAAAAAAAACAGTGAGAAATATCAGAACTTGCATCGCTCACAGATCTAGTCAGTCGATATACAGTTGCGAATTTTTGCATAAATATTACACTATACCGGACAACCTCGTCCCCAGGGCCAGGGAAAAGCGCCCTGGGGACGAGGTTGTATACCGGACAGTTTTTGTGCCGGTGTCACAGCGTTTTGGGCATCCCCGCGTTTTGGGCATCCCCATTCCCATATCCCTAGCGTTTTGGGCATCCCCGGTGGGGGATGCCCAAAACGCTGATCACTTCGACTTTGCCTAAATTATTGGCTCATGGCTCGTGTACGACGACCTGACTGACGTCATTAATAACGTAATAGCAAATGGCTAGTAGCAAAAGGAACAGTAGAGGAACAGTAGGGGAACAGTAGGAACAGTAGGGGAACAGTAGGAACAGTAGGATCAGACGAACAGTAGGATCAGAGTAACAGTAGGAATTAAGTAGGAACAGAGGAACAGTTGGATCAGAGGAACGGAGGAACAGTAGGAACAGTAGGAACACAGGAACAGTAGGAACAGTGAAAACAGAGGAACAGTACAGTAGGAACAGAGCAACAGTAGGAACAGAGCAACAGTAGGATCAGAGGAACAGTAGGAACAGTAGGAGCAGTAGGAACAGAGGAACATTAGGAACAGTAGGAACAGTAGGAACGTAGGAACAGTAGGAACAGTAGGAACAGTAGGAACAGTAGGAACGTAGGAACAGAGGAACAGTAGGAAAAGAGGAACAGTAGGAACAGAGGAACAGTAGGAACAGTAGGAACAGTAGGAACAGAGGAACAGTATAGGAACAGTAGGAACAGTAGGAACAGAGGAACAGTAGGAACAGAGGAACAGAGGAACAGAGGAACAGTAGGAACAGAGGAACAGAGGAACAGTAGGAACAGTAGGAACAGAGGAACAGTAGGAACAGTAGGAACAGAAGGAACAGTAGGAACAGAGGAACAGTAGGAACAGAGGAACAGAGGAACAGTAGGAACAGAGGAACAGAGGAACAGTAGGAACAGTAGGAACAGTAAGAACAGTAGGAACAGTAGGAACAGTAGGAACAGAGGAACAGTAGGAACAGTAGGAACAGAGGAACAGAGGAACAGTAGGAACAGTAGGAACAGAGGAACAGTAGGAACAGTAGGAACAGTAGGAACAGTAGGAACAGAGGAACAGTAGGAACAGAGGAACAGAGGAACAGAGGAACAGTAGGAACAGAGGAACAGAGGAACAGAGGAACAGTAGGAACAGTAGGAACAGTAAGAACAGAGGAACAGTAGGAACAGTAGGAACAGAGGAACAGAGGAACAGTAGGAACAGTAGGAACAGTAGGAACAGTAGGAAAAGACGAACAGTAGGAACAGAGGAACAGAGGAACAGTAGGAACAGTAGGAACAGTAGGAACAGAGGAACAGTAGGAACAGTAGGAACAGTAGGAACAGAGGAACAGTAGGAACAGTAGGAACAGAGGAACAGTAAGAACAGTAGGAACAGAGGAACAGTAGGAACGGAGGAACAGTAGGAACAGTAGGAACAGTAGGAACAGTAGGAACGGAGGAACAGTAGGAACAGTAGGAATTAAGTAGGAAGAGAGGAACAGTAGGAACAGTAGGAACAGAGGAACAGTAGGAACAGTAGGAACGGAGGAACAGTATGAACAGTAGGAATAGTAGGAACAGTAGGAACAGTAGGAACAGAGGAACAGAGGAACAGAGGAACAGTGGAAACAGAGGAACAGTAGGAACATGGGAACAGAGGAACAGTAGGAACATAGGAACAGTAGGAACAGAGGATCAGAGGAACAGTTGGAACAGAGGAACAGAGCAACAGTAGGAACAGAGGAACAGTCGGAACAGAGGAACAGTAGGAACAGAGGAAAAGTAGGAACAGTAGGAACAGAGGAAAAGTAGGAACAGTAGGAACAGAGGAACAGAGGAACAGTGGAAACAGAGGAACAGTAGGAACAGTAGGAACAGAGGAACAGTAGGAACAGAGGAACAGTAGGAACAGAGGAACAGTAGGATCAGAGGAACAGTAGGAACAGAGGAACAGTAGGAATTAAGTAGGAACAGTAAGAACAGAGGAACAGAGGAATAGAAGTAATAGAGGTACAGTAGGAAAAGTAGGAAATGCGGCTAACAAACGCGATTTAAAGTGTACAACTTTAACGAGCGGAATATTTTTGTATTTTTATTCTTAAGATGCATTAAATAAACTTATTATTTAAAAACTTATTACTATCATTTTAATACGGCGTTATTCCTCTTTATAATCCCTCAAATATTTTCGCTTGCGTTCGAATGGTCAAAATACGTCGCACTATATAGTCCTATATGCCCCAATTAAAATTTGGGAAATCCCCAGTGTTCAAACAAGATTCGCTTCGTTGGGTGTAAGAACGTTTTGCTGTCTTAACAGCCGAAACACACTAAAACGTCAATATCCCACGTACAAAATATTTTGACCGCGATAAGCTTTTCGTGACAAGATTGAAAATAAGGTGGTTGCGGCCTTCGCTTGGTTTTGTGACATGTTTGCAAAAGTTGATTTTAGAATTTAACTTTTTGTTCATGACGAAAAGCTAAAATATTACCTCAGTTAAAAGTAAAAGCAAGAAACATTACGATTTCTATCGGCTTCGTGAAAAGACTAAAAGCCATAAAAAGGCCATTATGTAACTTTCACAAACAGCGCGCGCGGCTTTAAGCGAAAATGTTTGAAGGATTGAAGCACAATAAACTTTAATTTATTTGGCTTCAAAAATATGCAAGTATAATTATCCTTGGACATTATTAGATAAAGTAATCAATTTCAAAAGCATTCATTTCAAATATGAGTGTGAAATTTTTGACATTTCTCTTGTATTATTGATTATCCAGATAAATTTCAGAATAGTTCGATTCTCTTTTCAGAATGTACTCTATGAATTAGTCTTAACACGCAGTGCATTTTTACTCTTTATATAAGCATGTTTGTAATCTCACGCTATCCAATCCTGAATAAAATAAACACCCGGCATCGCCAACATTAAAACATTAACAATTATAACTAAGTCGCGTTTTTAGCAAAATATCTTCTCGTAGTAATACAGTACAGTCTAAAGTAATGATTTCGTTCCAAGAGTCGCTTTTCTTTTTCTTTTTCTGCACCAAGAAAACAAGAATTTATGACTATTTTAATAAAAAATAATATAAAATTTTGACACTATTTTCCTTATTTCGGGTAAACAGTATTCTTTTTAAATCCGAGAACTGAACGGAATAGGTCCCAACGTAACACCATCACCGTCTATTCCATGTTTTCTTTAATCAGGAATCAGCCAGAATACCAAACAAGTTTGTCCACATTTGATTGGCTCTCATTTTTAAACTGCTTCCGTGCAGCAGGAATTGGTGCGCCGTGAAATCCAGCAATGGCTGAAAAACTCAGAAAAAACTTATTTCAATGACCAATGGGAATGAGGCCTTGAGTACGAGATTGCCTGTCAAGTAAAATACATCATTCTGTTATCTCTTAGCGCAAATACGATTTAGTCAAAAAACCAGTTGTACTGGATTTGCTTTTGAAGAATTCCTCGTCAACTTTTAATTTGTTCTTTATGTCTTGTAGTTTCTTGGTTATTGCTGACGCGGATTTACGACGTAGAGAAAATACACGTTGAAAACTTATATCTTCGGCAGAGCAGAATTCTACTATCTTGTGATAGTCTGCAAAGATTCTGTTCGGAGTGATATCTTGGCTTGTAACTAACAAGTACAAGATCAGTGCTTCAATGACGTACAGTTCGTCTTTCCAACCAAGTTGTAGCAATGGGCTCTTCCGCTTTCGTTTCCATATAGCCTTTGTCTGTTTGCTTGACGTCTTGTTGAAGGTCTTGTTTTTGTCGCTTTCGTGGTGGCGGATCAAAGATGCCTTTTTCATTAGCTTTGCGACCAAACGGATTCACGCACGAACGACAGGAACAGTTAACATTGCAGCTTCGCAAGGCACGAAAACACGGACAGCGTGATTTATAGTGTTTGCAGAATTCACTTTTCGCTGTCTTCCTGGCGGCTCCGCGACCACACGAACATCCCGTTTGATTTTGAGTGGGGAGATCTACCTCAACTGGCATTTGTGTGTCTGGCTCCTTGCCGGTTGTTTCAGTTACAGTTGAATTCGACTCTGTGCGATTGCCTTCAACTGCCAAGTCGTAGTGGCCGCTATCACTATGACTAAAAGCAAGGTATATCGGAACTTCAGATAGCACTCGTGTTCTGGGAATTACGTGAGTGATGGGATAATTTTCCATGGAGGTAAAAATAACCAGGGGTACTTGAAGGATATTGCTCATCGCCAGTGGAACACAGTTTCCTAATTCAGAATCATAATGGCCCGACTCAAGGAACTTTTGAGCTTCTGCGTCATATGAATCAGTGGTGCTTGTTATCAGAAATGGCTCGTAAACATGCCGATTAGGCCCCATAAATTCTTGCACAATCAACCGCCTAAGAACGTTGATTTTGTCCTTGTCAGGTATCTCTATGCTGATACCGATTGATTTCAAGTAAGTGGCTAAGTTGGAGTTATCTCTAGTAAGAAGAGAGCTCAAACTGAAAGAGATGCAATGTAGAAAACAGTCTCCATCCCCTGGCATCGACAACTGTTCAAAGCCAAATGCATTTAAAATGCTGGTTAACCTCTCCCTGCATTTTCCTGCGTCTGGTCTGGAGGAACTTGCATGCGATGAGAATAATAGAAGGCTGCGTCCTACGAACTGTGTCAGATTAACTTTCATCGTGGGTGCATCGCATTTCGCTTGCAAATCGTGAGCCAGGCTCTTCATGTACAGGGCATACTCTAAAACTCGATGATACGCGTCTTCCTCGCTGATCCTCACATTATCGTTGTCATCAATCCCATAGTCCCCGTCCTCACTACTGCTACCCGTTGACTCATTTTCACAGGCATCGACGTCAGTGCCATCTTCCGAGTCATCATCGCTAAAACCGCTTCCATTTTGAATTATTCCAGTACCAAATACTTCTTCCTGACTGACTGACAAGTCCTGGTAGTGGGTGACTGGGACCGGAACTTGTGAATGGCACGATCCAACCTTGTCCGAAAACCGTCTTTCGTTCCATCTGTATAGGCACGTTCCTATGCTTGCCACAGCTACTTTAACGCCAACTCTCCTTTTTTCTACGCTTTTTCGGAGGCTTTTGTGCATTGCTTCCTGTCTGCTTGTTCCTGCTTTAGGAGGAATATCTTCCAAGCAACCTTTCTTAATATGTTTTCTTAACTTGTCCAATTGGTTGTGGACATGCTGTGAAAGTACCTTTTCCCCTGCAAGTTCAACATTTTCCCAATTTTCCAGAAACCTATTTAAATTTGTCAACATCACTTCGCGAGAAGGCGTTGGCTTCTTACGTTCTTTTTCGATATCGCCCGACTTCCGAAAGACTAAACGAAATGCATCAAGGCATTGTCTTCTTAATGGGTGTTTTTTTTAAATTTTACTAGCGATGCGTTGCACTGCATGAAAGAGATCAAGTTTAATTGGAATAACTCCAAATACTGCTTGAAGGAGTAATCTCCAGGCGCAGCAGTTGTCAATGGCAAATCCCTGCAAGGTAACTCCGCTATTTTGTAGCCTGTTCCGAATTCCCATGAGTAGGGTCTTCACCCTGGCAAAACCAGTGCCTCTCGTTAATTGCCACGCGATGACAATTCCATCCTCATTCATGACAGAAAACAAAGAGTCGAACTGGCGAATCCAATGGCCATTTTGCCATAATCCGACATTCCCAGCGACCTTGAATGTGTGGTCAGAAGAGAGCCAACCACCTGTGAACGATGACATGCGTGCATTGTAAAGTTTTTCTTTCGTGCAATAGTCATGAACAAAGCATTGGCGAATCAGTTTTCTGTTAGGGTTTAACTGTGAAATCTGCGGCATTGTCGTGTGACTCACGTTGATTGATGGTCTATCCTCTGAAATTCTCATACGTAACAGTGTTAAGGTCCTAATGCTTGCCTCGGCGTGATAACTATGCCACATCTGTGCTAAAAGTGCTTCCACGTCCATGTACCTCATTCCTGACGCAGCATGAACGATTATTAATCTGTATAAACGTCGAGTAATCCCATTTTTGTGCAAAAGAAGGAAAGGGATCAGTTCTACCTGTCCAAACTTTTTCAGAATTTTAGGGTCATGACCGATTGTCCGATGATCATTTTTGCATGCATATACCCTACTTACCAGCAGAACAGGGCATTCTATATCTGCAAGCTGCCTAGGACTGTTGTGTTTCCAATCCTTTCCATCTTTCCAGCATCTAGGTTTCAGATCTTCACCACACTCTGGACAAGGTAAGTTTCCACGAAAATGCTGAAATAACGGATCCCAGATAATGACCCCAGGAAGAAACAGGGTTTCTCTAATGGCTTGGTCCCCAATTTCATGATGGTAATGAATGACGGTTGCTGTTGTTAGCTCTCCTTTCTCGTATCGCTCTATCATTTTTGCTATGGCTTTTACCAGGTTGGGGGATAACGGATTACCATTAGTTACCCTTGATAAGAATATCACCACCATGCATAGAAGTAGAATGCAGTGTGATTTTCTTAAAAGAACATCCATCCTGCCTGTAACGAAGAAATACTATTATTGTCGTTATTTAAGAGGTTGTAAACACAATAAGCTTACGTTTTTGGCATTCAATCACACTTTTTACCTTACTGTGGCTTGAAATTCTTTAACACATTTCTTATAAATCACACTGGGGTTGCTGGAAGAGAGTGATACACCCCAATCCAAAATTTAGAAGAGTAACCTCACTGCTTCCTCACTCCTCATAGAGGCGCGAGATTGTGCTTGTGCTTGGTACCACCCGATCGTTGTACAATTCCCGTTGCAATGCTGAGAGAAAACGAGAACTTGCTATCAGCTTTACTGACACAATAAAACTTGAACGGAAAACTGTCCCTTACGGCAGAGGAAAAGAGACACGAAAACAGAATAAAAACCAAAAATAGAATACAATATTCTTCGCCCGATGTTTTGGTTTGACATACATAACGTGTAAGGCGGCTAACGTAAGATTAATAGATACGTTAGAACTTTACAGTTTAAAAGTTATATATGCAAACTTCTTAACGTTTAAACTTTAACGTTATAACGTATGTATTCATTTTTGTGATAAATGCAAAATACTTAACATTTAGTTATTCACCACTGCCAGTATGGCTCAATGACGCTCGGCTTCAGACTAACATAGGTGTTTTTACACTGACTGTAGAATTTGTTCTGTTCAACATAGACCATTCAAAATCCTGGAGTGTCGATTGTAGGCTACAGCCAGCCGGAACGATTCTATCCAATCTACGCAAGATTGAAAGAGCGAAGAGACGGGGCCGTGGACAGGATGCTGATTTATCAGCCCAAGCCAAAGCGACTCACTGCCACAGAGACCAAACGTTTTATAACTCAATTACACCAATCACATGTCAAAGATTTGAGGTAAGCTTTTCGATAATTAAATGGAAACAAAACGAGTGATGACTGTTTTCTTCTAAGCAAATCAGGGCACAGCCATACTTAAATTTGTCAATGGTCGATATTTCATAATGAATCACAATGAAGGATTAAATTTAACACGAATTCTAGAAGTCCGTTGGTGTATCCAAGACCCCTGGAGGAGCCTCGTTCGCATGACTCTTTTTCACAAGTAAGATAGGCGAGAATCTCGGCTATTTTATAACTGATATGTTTTAAGTTTTTACAGCGCGCACTGATTATTTTAAATGGTTTTCAAACTATGTTTTAGTTAAATAAACTTATTCCTAACTAAATCAGTAATTTATTCCGGCAGTGTTGTATGTTTTTTTAGCAATATTTCAAAAGGACCACTTTAAAATCAAGCAGGTGAAATTTGCACTTAAAAACTTTCATTGGCTCATGTTCAGCGAATTTTCTAGTTGAAACTAAAAACAAACATCAATGAAAGGATTGGATGTGCGTATACTCTTTCCAATGTCGTTGACAGTTTTTCTCTAAAATTTGCATAACGAAGAGAGCACTGAAACAAATCTCGAAAGATGCGGCGGGGTTGGCAACAAGAAGCCTACTTTGAGTTTTTCACAAAAACGAGGCTTTGTTTTTGCAACAATTATTCGTCTCCCAAGATACATTCGGGCAGTGATAAAACCATGTGCGATTTTCACGATAGCGTCGTCGATCTCTGCAATCTCTGGACCAATCGAAGCCACAAATTTTGGCCGAGGAGACGTCCTTCATAATAATAATAATAATTTATATATCGCCTACAGACCTGTTCTATGCGCTTTACCATAATATGCTAATAATACTTGATACACATCGATCAATCATTTTCATTTAGATGTACAGCTTACGCAATGTATAATTATATAAAAGCAATATATATATATACAATAAAGTTTTTCGTAACTTAAACACACGACTGATTCATTGTATTTTTCTTTCCTAGATCGGTTTATGAAGGCATCTACACTTTTTGTCACGATGAAAATGACGTCCTCACATTATCGTTGGATGTGGACGGAAACACAGCTTTTGAGGAATTTTTGGACAAGATAGCGGAGCAGCTGAACAAGCAGTGGAGTGATAACAGCGAAAGTGAAGACGTCTCCAAAGATGATCGACACGTGTTGAGACTGGCGGCGGTGCTGCATTTGTTCTATGATCAGCTGAAGAAGAGGTTAGAAAGCCTTCCAGCATCACCGCCAGCTAATGTCGTCAACAAAGCGACGTTGAAGCAAGCCATCGCCTTAGCACACTATTTCGCTGAACAGCGAAAAGTGCTCGATCAGGTAATGGAAAATACTTTACATGATGCATCCAACGAATTCATACTTTATATGAGCTTTAATTAAAATCCGATGCACACACTGATTGGCTGGAGGGCTATTTCATATTTCCTTTAAGTATTCTGAAAGAAGCTATGTCGTCTTTTCCTTAGAAGATGTTCAAGTCAGAAAGGGTTCTATAATTCTCCGCTGAGGTAGTCAAATCTGTTTACAATATGCAACAATATGCAACTCTAAAACAACGCCATGACGTGAGATATTAATTTCCTGATTCTGATAAATTATGTCCATCCGAGAAATCAATTGAGAGATACCAAAACGTTTGTAATTATCGGGTGGTCGCTACTTACGGAAAACGTTATTCCGAAATTCAGAGAACTGTGCATTTGATCAATTGCAAAGTTTACGACAAAAAACCGTTAAGTTTTTCGTCTGATAGTGTCATTGTATTTTAAGGTGTACATTATAAGATTTTATATTGATGTCTTTAACTTTACTCAGTTGCAGCTTGGAAACATGGAAACCGGCGCGGTAAGCAAGAAGGCAGACCCTAAATCCATAGCAAGTAGAGTACTAACCTGCCCTGGTCCTTTCTCGACCGTGCGGTTAGCACAATCCTCGATAAGTGGACATATTCGTCCAGCGGCAGTCACTATTGTTGAGATAATGCAAAATCTAGAGAGAGATGGTCTCGGAAAGGTTATTGTCGTGGATAGAACCACTGTGTTTTATAAGAGCCTTCCGTGCAACGTTGACGAGGAGGTCCTCGGAAACTATGGTGTTATTCTTGGAAACTACAGTAACCAATTCAAAGAGAGGGCAGCCCATACTATCGTTTCAAGGGATCTTTTTAATAGAATGCTTAATATGTCCCCTGACAAGGTGGATCTCGAAAGGGTTTATGCCATTACATCAGAAGAAGACTGATCACTGATGATAATGGGTACAATCACGACTTTAATTTTAGCGAGAACATGCAACGCACCTATCAATCAATCTTAAGCCCAAGGGAGGGGTGGGGGGGGGGAGAGGGGGCAAGGGGTAGGGGTTTTATTGACATGTAGTGGAATAATGGAAACCGGCGCGGTAAGCAAGAAGGCAGACCCTAAATCCATAGGTCTGGGAAAGGTTCTGGTCGTGGATAGAACCACTGTGTTTTATAAGGGCCTTCCGTGCAACGTTAACGAGGTCGGAAACTATGGTGTTATTCTTGGAAACTACAGTAACCAATTCAAAGAGAGGTGAAAAGGTGACAAGGTGGATCTCGAAAGGGTTTATACCATTTCAGCGGAAGAAGACTGATCAGTGGTGATAATCGGTACAATCACGACTTTAATTTCAGCGAGAACATGCAATGCATCTATCAATCTCAAGGGGTAGGGGTTTTATTGGCATGGCCTGAATATCCACTGTTAGAGTTTTAGCATAATTTTTTGGGGATATTTGATCACCTGCACTTGCCCCAGGGTGATGAACTTTGATATTATGATAATGAGCAATCGTGTTGTCCCGGGAGTGGAACTTTAACATCTAGGAAAATGTCAAAATCACCACCCATACCCCCTCCTTCTCCCCCCGCCCCCTCCCCTTGATATTGCTTCAATCCGGGCTTGTAATTTTATATTTATACAAGGAAAACCCTTGTTTGCTAGATTTTTTTAGCATAGGTTTGATAACATTTTGCACAAACGCGAATTTTAATATTTTTTCCAAGTTCAGTTGCATGTTAATTATAGACCCTTACACGGTTTCTGTTTCATATTAGTTGGGGGCAAACACGGCAAAAATTACAGGAAATGTATGGGATTTTTATTAGACTGTACTGTGTTACTAGGAGAAGATATTTTGCTAAAAACGCGACTTAGTTATAATTGTTAATGTTTTACTGTTGGCGATGCCGGGTGTTTATTTTATTCAGGGTTGGATAGCGTGAGATTATAAACATGCTTATATCAAGAGTAAAAATGCACTGCGTGTTAAGACTAATTCATAGAGTACATTCTGAAAAGAGAATCGAACTATTCTGAAATTTATCTGGATAATCAATAATACAAGAGAAATGTCAAAAATTTCACACTCATATTTGAAATGAATGCTTTTGAAATTGGTTCCTTTATCTAATAATGTCCAAGGATAATTATAGCTGCATATTTTTGAAGCCAAATAAATTAAAGTTTTTTGTGCTTCAATCCTTCAAACATTTTTGCTTAAAGCCGCGCGCGCTGGTTGTGAAAGTTACATAATGGCCTTTTTATGGCTTTTAGTCTTTTCACGAAGCCGATAGAAATCGTAATGTTTCTTGCTTTTACTTTTAACTGCGGTAATATTTTAGCTTTTCGTCATGAACAAAAAGTTAAATTCTAAAATCAACTTTTGCAAACATGTCACAAAACCAAGCGAAGGCCGCAACCACCTTATTTTCAATCTTGTCACGAAAAGCTTATCGCGGTCAAAATATTTTGAACGTGGGATATTGACGTTTTAGTGTGTTTCGGCTGTTAAGACAGCAAAACGTTCTTACACCCAACGAAGCGAATCTTGTTTGAACACTGGGGATTTCCCAAATTTTAATTGGGGCATATAGGACTACATAGTGTGACGTATTTTGACCATTCACACGCAAGCGAAAATATTTGAGGGATTATAAAGAGAAATAACGCCGTATTAAAATGATAGTAATAAGTTTTTAAATAATAAGTTTATTTAATGCATCTTAACAATAAAAATACAAAAATATTCCGCTCGTTAAAGTTGTACACTTTAAATCGCGTTTGTTAGCCGCATTTCCTACTGTTCCTACTGTTCTTACTGTTTCTCTGATCTTACTGTTCCTCTGTTCCTTCTGTTCCTCTGTTCCTACTGTTTCTACTGTTCCTCTGTTCCTACTGTTTATACTCTTCCTCTGTTTCCACTGTTCCTACTGTTCCTCTGTTCCTACTGTTCCTCCGTTCCTACTGTTCCTCTGTTCCTACTCTCCCTACTGTTCCTACTGTTCCTACTGTTCCTACTGTTCCTACTGTTCCTCTGATCTTACTGTTCCTACTGTTCCTACTGTTCCTACGTTCCTACTGTTCCTACTGTTCCTACTGTTCCTCTGATCTTACTGCTCCTACTGTTCCTACTGTTCCTCTGATCCTACTGTTCCTCTGATCTTACTGTTCCTACTGTTCCTACTGTTCCTACGTTCCTACTGTTCCTACTGTTCCTACTGTTCCTCTGATCTTAGTGCTCCTACTGTTCCTACTGTTCCTCTGATCCTACTGTTGCTCTGTTCCTACTGTTCCTCTGTTTTCACTGTTCCTACTGTTCCTCTGTTCCTACTGTTGCTCTGTTCCTACTGTTCCTACTGTTCCTACTGTTGCTCCGTTCCTACTGTTCCTACTGTTCCTACTGTTCCTACGTTCCTACTGTTCCTACTGTTCCTACTGTTCCTCTGATCTTACTGCTCCTACTGTTCCTACTGTTCCTACGTTCCTACTGTTCCTACTGTTCCTCCGTTCCTCTGATCCAACTGTTCCTCTGTTCCTACTGTTCCTCTGTTCCTACTGTTCCTACTGTTCCTACGTTCCTACTGTTCCTACTGTTCCTACTGTTCCTTCTGTTCCGCTGTTCCTACTCTCCCTACTGTTCCTACTGTTCCTACGTTCCTACTGTTCCTACTGTTCCTACTGTTCCTACGCTCCTACTGTTCCTACTGTTCCTACTGTTCCTACTGTTCCTACTGTTCCTCTGTTACTACTGTTCCTCCGTTCGTACCGTTCCTACTGTTCCTCTGTTCCTACTGTTCCTAATGTTCCTCTGTTCCTACTGTTTCTCTGTTCCTAGTCTCCCTAATGTTCCTACTGTTCCTACTGTTCCTATACTGTTCCTCTGTTCCTACTGTTCCTACTGTTCCTACTGTTCCTCTGTTCCTACTGTTCCTCTGTTTTCACTGTTCCTACTGTTCCTGTGTTCCTACTGTTCCTACTGTTCCTCCGTTCCTCTGATCCAACTGTTCCCCTGTTCCTACTTAATTCCTACTGTTACTCTGATCCTACTGTTCGTCTGATCCTACTGTTCCTACTGTTCCCCTACTGTTCCTACTGTTCCCCTACTGTTCCTCTACTGTTCCTTTTGCTACTAGCCATTTGCTATTACGTTATTAATGACGTCAGTGAGGTCGTCGTACACGAGCCATGAGCCAAATTATTTCAGACTGGGGAAAAGTCCGGATTGTTAATCACGAATTTACGGCTAAATAGTGTAGATGCACGTTAGAATTATATCGTCCGACACTTTTTGCCGGGTTAATTGCGCAGAGAAAAACCCATAGGCAGTAAACGTTGGCTCAAAACATGACGAAACTGAAATTTACAACCGCATAACATCGCTTCGATGCACAACACTTCATTGTTTGCAAGCTTTCAATTTTATTTAATAGAACTGTTTACAAGCGAGCAATGCCGCAATCGCCAGCAGCTGCGATCGTCTGCTTCCAAACAGCCAAAAACAAGAATACTAAACAAAGGAATCAAAAGGTAAACATGAATAAAACTGCGTTTTGCGGTGTTGCATTCATAGTATTCATGACATGTGAGGCCTGTACAACTTAACCCCGCAGCGCTACTTGATACAGGAAAGGCTGTCACACAATTACAGAGGCCTCAAATCATCAGAAATAACCGGAGGTGGGGTGACAATTCCCCCCCAAAAAAACCTGCAGTGCAAGGGAAAGGCATGCCTAGAAAAAAGTCCTGTAGTTATGTAGTTATGATAAATGGACGCTCCAATGATGGTCACTAGAAGAGATGTTGTGCTTGGCGCACGGGCGTGACAGCCGGCGTGACATAAATGGATGTTCAAGGCCACACTTAGGTCAACTGACAGAAAATCTGTCATCTTGAGCCTTCAGAAATATAACTTCTGATCTTTGGCTTCACATAAAATAATAACAAACGGGATCTATAAGAAGGACTCCGGTTTACAATGCCCTTTGACAACCTACCAAAAGATGCAATTATGCCTCACCCTTTCAAAGAACACTGAAAACAGAAGAAATTTAGCGTATGTTTTCGATTATCAACTCGGGTGTTTTAAAAACACGATCAATTGGCAAATAAATAACATTTGTAACTACACTGTAACCATTTCTATCGTGTCCTTGTAGTAGTCAGGCCAGTAAAACCGCTCTTTGATTTTCCTCAGAGTCTTATTGCGGCCGGCGTGTCCAGCAAAAGGAGCAGAGTAGCACTCTTCGAAGACCCTCGCTTTATCTTCCTCGGCGATAACAAGACGTCGAAGAGCTGTGCCATCCTTCTCCTTGGTCACGTAGAACAAGGACTCTAATTTTGAGTCATACTCAAACTTTTTGGCGAATTTTCTAAGAATTGTTTTGTCCTGCTTTGTAAAGCCTTCCGGATAAACCTTATTTTTAAGATACCGGAACAGATTTGTATATTTAGCGGAATCCATCTCTAAAAGGTTTTCGATTTTCCCGCGAAATCCCAAATTGTTTTGGAGGGGATGCCCAAAACGCTAGGGATTTGGGCATCCCGGGAGGGTACCGGGGGATGCCCAAAACGCTGCAGTAATATGAGAAGGGGATACCCAAAACGCTAGGGATATGGGAATGGGGATGCCCAAAACGCGGGGATGCCCAAAACGCTGTGACACCGGCGCGAAAACCATACATAAGAACGGTAATTTCGGCGCGATTTCTGTAACGGAGCGAAGCTGCGACTAGACTACGAGTAGTCCCCATTTTTCCTCAGGGATAGTAGAGCGAGCGAAACGCGAGCGTGCTTGAAAATTACGCCACGCGAGAAAGGCGAGACGCGGCGTAGAGCGAAAAAAAATGATTTTTTTCTCTTCCTGCCGCGTCCCGCCTTTCTCGCGTTCGTCCAGCCTTTCACGCGCACTCGCGTTTCGCTTGCTCTACTATCCCTGAG